AGACTTTTTTGTTTTTTTTTTTTTATCCGCTAAACTCAAACGCTGCAAATTGCAGCGTTTTTAATTTTAGCGGATGGAACAAAACAGCTATGTTTAAAAGCTGTTTACCAAACGATTTATTTTAGCGGATTTGTAAAGTCAAACAGCTAAAATTGTGAAAAAGTTGTTTTAAGTGCAAAACGCTAAAAAGCAAACAGGGCCTATCCAACAAGACAAGCATTTATGTCGAGAACACTAAAATGAATAAAACTGTATCAGGTTCATAGAAAGAGGAATTCTCCAATAACGTGAAAACCAAGAATGTTCATTGTTGATTTGAAATGAATAAAATTACCCAACATCGACCGAATTTCGACGCAAATACTTAGGTGCGCCCTGGCACACCTAGCAAGGTATGCCAAGGCTTTTTTAAAATGAACATGTTTTTTTGTAAAATGAACATGTGTAAACATGTTTACACATGTTCATTTTATAAAGTAACATGTTCATTTTAATCTGTCTTGACACACCTTGCTAGGTGTGCCAAGGTGCACAGTAGTAGCACTGGAATTTCGATGTACACAATAGAATTGAAGATACCCATTTTACAGCACTAATGTGGTAATAAAACATCAAAGAATAGCAAAGTTATATTGATGCGGATAAAGCATTAGTTTAAAGAATTTTACGGAATATAATTATTAACATTATTAATAGGTAGCTTGGAGAATAAGTTAAATTATAATATTGAGAGCCTTATATAAATGTATAAGGAAGCATTCATAATGCTTTGGGTTCTTTAAAAAAAATATATATGCCACGTAGGAAACAGACTCAGTCTAGAAAAATATTTACTCCAATGCAATTGCAATTGGACTAGGTCCTGCTGATGTGACAGCAAAAAAGTGAGACTCGGTCTACCCTTGAGTTAGACCCAAGTAGAGACACAGTCTCTTTGCATTGGAGTTAATTTCATTATTTTTTAATATTTTTGTTCATGTCATCTAAGACTTAAGTCTATTTACATACCATGTAAACAAAACTAGACCCAAAGCATTGTACATGCTCTTACGGTGGTGGGTTTTGAATAAAATATGAATTGAAATTGTGTTGGTGTTCATGAGATTGCGATCACATTAATATCGTCTCACTCGTACGTCTCCCTACATCAGTTGGTATCAGAAGTCATCACGATTTCTGATGCCGCCGTGAAGAGAGGACATCGACGGGCCTGACCCCGCCATTGAGCATACGGATCGACAAGCCAAGGGCTTCGGCCGCCTAATCAATCAAGTGGATCGTCGGGTTGAGGATATTTCGACAGGGATTGAAGAATTGTGTCTCACTATCCATACCATGGTTCGGGACGAGCAAATGTACAGTGACATCGGTGCTTGGGGCATGCGGCAGGGATTCAACGGTGGACGTGGTGGCCGTGGTCTAGGCGGGGCGCCCTGCCAGTGATTGCCACAACTGCCGCTCGGCGACGAAGATACCATCTCGGGGGTGAATTCTTTCGGCGAGTGACAACCTCCGCACGATAAGGCTAAGCCCTTTTTCTGCTCACAACGACCAAGATGTGCGACAACAAGGCACGATTTTTTAGGAAGATGACGACCAGCGGTGCAATTGGAGCCCCAATTTCAAATGCCGGGGGCGCGACAATCCGTTCGCGGAGGATTTTAGGCCCTAGTGTTAGCCCGAAAATCCCGCAGCTGGCGAGGGTTTCGGGTTTCAGCCACGTAGTCCCACAGCAGCAACGAATTTTGCAGGCTTTGTTCACGAATTATGGGCGTGTAAGGAGACGACTTTGGTCGCAATATTTATTTGAAATTGAAAATGAGGAAAGTTAAAATGCATTCCAAATTATATCAAATGTACTCTCTATTTGTAGAAAATGGAAAAAAATACGATTTTTGATAATTTTTTTAATATAAATTAACATAAATTATTAAACTTTATAAAAATATTTCTAAATATCTTATAAAAAAATATAGGGTTCAAATGAGAATGGAGTATGTGCCTCATTCCATCCTCCACCCTAGGTTGGCAACTAACTCACCTTAGGACTTTGGTCGCTGCCTAAGGTCATTTTTTTTTTTTTTTGTTTCGAAACGAAAGAGGATATTATATAACTCAAAAAATTGTTCAAATACAAACTGATAGCTACTCAAAAGGTAGAATGAAAGTACATCCACATGATGGCTTAGAATCTTCCTCAACTAAAAGCAACAAACGGTAAACTATTTACAAAAAAAAAAGCCAGTGTAAGAAGAAGATGTGTTGCCACTGCTAAATGCATAGCTAGTACATCCTTCTTCCAATTTTTAAATCTCAACACTAAGAAATAGAATTACAAAAAGATGTTTGATGAGAGTAATAGAAGTCCATCTAATCTGAGTGTGCAACCTTGACTGTAATGTGCACTGGAGTGAGGGAGTGTTTAAAGATCCATACGTTCCTTGTCTTCCAGAGTCACCATAACAAATATGTTGTGAGTTTGATTATGTGTTCTGCTACCTCTGTATGGCCCATGAGACATAATTGATGCCACTAGTGTTTGAAGGACTTAGTGTATTACTGCAAACCATCCCAGGAGACTGGTGCTATTGCCCACAATTTGCTAGCCCTGGTGCAATGAACGAGAACATGCTCAATAGTTTCTGAGCCTTCACCACAACATCTGCAGGTAGTGTCTAGGTCTAATCCCTTTTTCCTCAGATTTTTCAGCACTGGTACAACTCCTGTTAAACATCTCCAAATGAACAACTTAATTTTTCAAAGTATCTTTAAGGACCATGTTCTTTTGAAAGTGGATTTCCAAGAAAGTGATTGAGAGCCGCTTTCTGGTTGATCTATCTTTAGCACTTTCTGTTGAGCCAGAATGGATTATGTGTTCTGCAATCTCTGTATGGCCAAGGAGACATAATTGATGCCACCAGTGTTTGAAGGAGTTAGTGTATTACTGCAAACCATCCCAAGAGACTGGTGTTATTGCTAGCCCTGGTGCAATGAAAGAGAACAATGCTCAATAGTTTTTGAGCCTTCACCACAGCATCTGCAGGTAGTGTCTAGGTCTAATCCCTTTTTCCTCAGATTTTTCAGCACTGGTACAACTCCTGTTAAACATCTCCAAATGAACAGCTTAATTTTTCCAAGTATCTTTAAGGACCATGTTCTTTTGAAAGTGGATTTCCAAGAAAGTGATTGAGAGCTGCTTTCTGGTTGATCTATCTTTAGCACTTTCTGTTGAGCCAGAAATTTATATGTGCTTGAAACAAAGAATTGCCCCTTCTTGTCTAAACCCTAGAAGTATCTATCTGGTCTGTGAGGATTTAAACTGCTGATTTTCAAAATGTTTGTGCTATCTTCAGAACTAAACACCTGTTGTACTAACCACTCATTCCGGTGCCAACCATCATCAGTAAATAAGACTTTATCAAAATTAAGGCGGCCTCTGGCTAGAGCTAACATATCAGGAGCAGATTTTTAAGAATTTGGAATCCAGTTCATGTCATTAATCTTAGTATTGGCTCCATTTCTTATTTCTATTTTCAG